CTTATTACGTATAACTTATTATAAATGTACGTACGTACATATCTTATTTTTTCTTTTTTTATTACTTTTTTTATTATACAGTTCTGTCCAATAACAGTAGTTAATTTTTGTTTTTGTTGTATAAAAATTTCTATGTACGTATATACATACAATAACGATAAAGCTGCATGCAAAAGCAACCAATTTCTGCAGTGGTTGTGGTGTCTTATCATGACCTGTCATGATATTGATTCTGTTTAGTAACAGTAGCAGATTTTTGTTTATTGATTTTAGTAGCGAATTTTTGTTCAGTTGGTTTTCTTTGTTATGCAATTCTGTCCAGTAACAGTAACTATTTTTTTTTTTGTTTGTTTCTTTAAAAAAACTAGTGATCGTTTAACATTAAAATACATTTATATTTTTGCTATTGTCTTAATAACATCGAATAAGGAATATTAATTTTTTCATTCTTGCAATACCAAAAAAAAATAAAAGCGCAGATAATACTTCAGATTAATATTAAAATGCTAATACTACTGTACAGTGCTACATATAGTACCCTGGGTATTTTACAAAAAAGCCGGTCTAGATTGAATAATACCTTCTAAATATTGAGAGACAGAAGGATAATACAAATAATCGTTACTGATTACTTTATACTTTTATTAAATATATCAAACCAAATAAAAAGATTGTGCTATTAATATGAAAGCTGTACCACAAATTGCTTGTAAAAAAAAGGGGGATACTATTCCAGGAGAGTACTATATATAGCGCTATACAGTAAGTGATGATGTTTAAATGAATATGTATTTTAATAATGGAATTTTATAAATATTTAATGGTCATGAATCGCTATGTAAAAAGAAAAAAAAAAAAAAACAAAATGGCACTTTATAGAATTGGAGTATGTTTTGCATACCAAACTTGTTTATTCTGTTTCACAGACCTAACTCAAGATTTATGTGAATGCGATACTTACCAAAAACCACCTCACGATAAAACTCCTCAACAAGTTTTTAATAGAATTTACAATCCTAATAATATCCAAACAAATCAAAAACTATTCCTTCAAAATTGTAATCGTCTTTTCGCACATAACTGTGATTTTAATCAATCGTTTAATTTTAATCTTTGTTCAACATGTTATTCACGATATAATTATGTTAAAAAAAGTTCTACAGATGTTTCTTCAGCTAGTAAAAGTACTAGTAATCATGCTAAAAAAAAAAGCGTTAGCAATCCTTCAGTTATAAGTGTTAGCGATGACGATTCTGACTTTTCAATGGGCTCAGTTTTATCGGAGGAAGATTCTAATTTGGATTTAAAATTCCAAGTTAAGGTTGTAATTAACGTTAGTGAATCCGAACCAATACCAGCAAAATGGTTCACAATTGAATCAGACGATTTCAACATTTTTCAAGACAATCTAATTAAACATAT